AAGTTCTGCTGCCCTTTGATTTGAGACCTCCCTTTGTTATCGTTTCCAATGGTTCGGATTCTTCCCTAGTGTCTCCTTAGTTGTCATTAACCCATTGTTGAACTCAAGATTTTTTATGCTCGAAAGGGTGTTCCCTTCTGTAGTTTCTGCCCGTTGGGGTGTCACCTCTGCTACCTTTTCCCCAGTCCCCTTCTCTTGTTCTTTTCCAAGACTAGTTAAGGTCTTCTTAGTGGTTTGTGCTTCCACCATTTCCTGTACCTCCTTCTGCATCAACACTATTCTTTCTATTGCATCCAAGCTATCATCCTTCATCCTTTTCCCAAGGACCCCCTCTAAGTACCTTATCTCTATCGTTTTTGTTCATAAACTGGAAGCCGAATAGCTGATCTCCTGCTTCTGATATTTGGAAATTCTAGATTCCAAGCTTTCGATAACGTTATTTTCATGGATTTCATATTTGGTTTCTTGGGGGACAGGTATCTGCACGTTAGCCCTAGAAGGCTCACAGCTTGAACCATTGTCGAATCGATGTCTTCATCCTCTACTATCAACGCATCATCATCCGCCAGCTTGATCATCTCCATATGGTTTTCTATACTTTTTGTAATACCCTCTTGAATCTGTATTTCCGTCAACTCCTCTGAGGAAGGAGTTCCCTTCTCTATCGCTTCCTTGTTATTTTATGGTTCCTCCATCGAATAAAACAAAGAACAGCCAAAAAAGACGTCAGCTAATAGATCACTCCCTTTCCCTTAACTGCTTGAGGCAAGTTAGGGTTCAGCAAAATGAGACCCTCGAAGTTCACATAATAGTACTTCTCGGAAACTCTCACTCATAGATCTGTACCACAGGAGGCGAATACAGATCTAGCTCAGTTATGATCTTAAAAAGAAGCTCACAATCACTAGAAAACTAGAGACAAAGGGTCGCCGCCATCAACCCAATGGTTGAGAAAACCTAAAGCCGCAACTCCGGAACCCTAGCTCCGAAACTCTCGCTAAAACATCATAAGCACATTTTTTGTGTTTTTTAGTTTTTCTTCTAATGGAAGGATTTCATGCGAAAAACAAGTATAATCAGTTTGCATCTCTTACCAGCAAGCTTTTATATTTCTGAGGTTCTTTATTGCCATAACCTCTAGTTTCTGCCTTGCTATATTTGTGCGTACAGCCTCACTTCTCCGAACTTGGGACAACTAAACTTACCACAAGAGTTGTATCTAGGGAAAGAAAGAAAAGGGACCTTATTCTAAGCCATGGAGCCTTGTACTTCTTAGAAGATCCCACACTTATAATTGAGAGTATCCATTTTAATTTCATTCTTTTGTCGGCATTCTCTTAAGAATAAGCTCAATATGATTTATATGAACATAAAACGAAATTTGAGTTCTTTGCAGAACAAGGATCTTAATTGCATAAGTGTTTTCTAGACTAATGGACCATTTCTTGGGAAACGTATGTTAGATGCCCAAACCACCCTCTGGCTTCGTCTCCTTATTTCGTTGGACAAAATTTCGTGTAGATCTGCTAACAATAGCATAATTGTTGTCTACATTGAGGTCAGAAATACTTGCAGCAACTTCGGCTTCCTGGTTCTTGTCCTGAAATATATTTCTTTGGTAGCCAGTGCCTACGAATCTTTTCAAGTCATGATGAGAGTGGTATAGCAAACATTTTTTGGATGAGTCTGGGACTCTAGGTAATTGGGTAATGAGGTTGGATTTTGGCTGCACTTCCTTGGTGAAAGTTGTTGAAGGGTTTAATACTCGAAACAAGTGTTGATTCTGTAGAAGAGCATTCACCTTTTTGTTCCTTCTACCTAGATCTATGTTGCATTTTGGCTTTTGAAGGATGAAGCATTGTTCCTTTCTTGTAGATGTTCGATCGATGGGAACAGGTGCTACCTAGTGTTCTGGGTAGTACCTAATTTCCGCATAGTCATAAAGATGGTCGAGTTTGAACAATCGTCTTCTATATGCTTGTCCATCATGTGTGATTTCATTCCTTTTACCTCACCAGCTGGTGCAATCGAAATGTTCCCCAGTTTACCTATTGAAGTTTTGTTGCCTTGACCGAAAAGGATTACTACATGGTAATGGCTGCTGAAGTCGTTCTGTAATTGTCTTGTTATTGACTACCATCTGCGGAGTGTGATTCTAATGTTACTGTTATATTTTCAAGATGTTACACAGGTTCTCTCGGAGCTTGAGCTCACAATACAAAGCGTAAAAGTTACAACAACACCAGATGGCAGTGTCCTCAACATCTTCTTCATAGCAGATAACATGTGAGAATTTGTTTGGCCCTCTTTGATAGGGATTCAATTTATGTTGGGTCAAAGGAAGGATTTTTTTAGCTTAGTTTTGTTAAGAGGAACTTTTTCTATCAACCATGAAAGGAATTAAAAGTTTGCCCTGTGATACTAAACTTGATCATCACAAGCAGAGGGCTTGATACTGAACTTGTAATGGCAAATCCAGTCGAGCTATCCGATAAAGGAAGACCGAGGGGGTTCTACAATGTCACGCTTGCTTGGAAAGCACTTGGGATTTGCATATTCTCGGTAATAAGTTTCTTCCATTTTTTACACGACTAGGAATGCCTACGCAAATATTATCTAACGCTACTGCAGTCTTGGTTGCTTAGGCTGAAATAGGAAGGCATTCGGCGGGTGATCGTGAATGGGAGGTGTACAGGTTTCAGCTCTCAAGCATGGTGGCTAGGAATCATATTGTAGATAGAGTCAGAAGGGCACTAATGGGATAGTGAGTTGTTTTGATTTCTGCAAAACTGGAGAGTTGCCCCCGTTTTTATGTATTCGTTTATATCCATTTGCATAAAGCTACACGTATGTATGTAAATAGTAATTCATGACTTTGTATGTTATTTTGGTTCTCTTATCCTTTCATGTTGATCCAAGCATGAGTTGAGGAATGGTAAGGGGATTATTGAGAAAAATCACCAATATATCTAATCTTACATATTCTGTCACTTGGCAATTGGTATCCCTTTATTTGGTGTCTCCTTTTTTTTTCTTTCCTCAATAATCTCAATGAACTCATAACTCACTCATTTGAAATTAGATTTTAAATTTTGGTTAAATTAAATTGTATTTATCATGATTTTTAAGTTTCAAAATTAGAAATTTCAAACCATCTTATTGAGGTGTAAATGGTGAGTCCTTCAACTTTTAGTGTAAAACCAAAATGTAAATGTCTGATAGAAGAAGCAAAGTTCAATGGAGGGTTACTATAGTGGTATGCATATGCTATGTTATATAACCTTTGCACAAACAAGCCCTTGGTAAATTTGGGATTGGGACTAATTCAACAAAGAATTCTCATTAGCCACTCTTCATTCATCGGCCTGAGAAAGTATATTATCCAAGCACCTAGCCACCCACATATAAAAAACTGGGGTGTCAAGCATGATATCATCCAAAGAAAGTAGGCACGTGGGAGTAGAATTTAGCTAAGTGTTTCAATGTATCAATTGATCTGCATAGCAATAGGAGGGTTAGGGTGTGAAGCAAGCTACAACAAGCATCAAGCATTGGAGGAGCGGTTATAAAGAGGCGGTTACACCTGATGGCCATAAATAGGATAAACAAATACTAGAAAATGGTTATTCAACCAAACATATGACACCACATGTCAAACTTTATCTTTTCTCTCCAATGTAGTTATAGTCATAATCCTTAGTTTCTGGAGCTCTCAGTGAACCTTCATAGGGGCAGGAGTAACGCAACTTAGTTTGCTCTAAAAGACCATCAAAACACCCTCGTTTGAACATTGTTATAAGAAGTATGAAACATATCATTGTCGTTGTTTAGAAAATCAAAGGTGGTATTCATTGATTTCATACACAAAAATTTCCTCGCCGAAAAACACAATGTCATTACGTTTATTCAACCATCATGGAACACCTAAGAGCATTCATATCAATGAAATTATACATGCAATTGCATTTGTGTTTTTTGCTCCCGCCTCAACTTTTTTTTCAATCCAACTCATATTACTTTCATTGTATCACATCAATGCAATTAACTTACAATTTCAATTGGTTTTATAATTTTAATTTAATTAAATATAGACACTTAATTAATGAATAATTTAATAATAAAAAGGTGACATGACTTTGCATTCTATAATTGCATTATATGCAAGCTTGAAAAATGCAATTGTTACCTACATTAATACAATTGCGTAATACAATTACAAATTAATATCATATCATATCGTAATGCAATTTTAATGTAGATGCTCTAATACCCGACTCTTAAGGATTTTGAATGTTGCAAGTGATGTAAGCATCTAACCGGATTGCAAGTGGGCTAGTGATATCAATCCTCATGGTCCATGGAGAGAACGTGGTGAGTGGCGACAACTTACATGATCCTCATATCCACCGGCTTACCGTTCGTCCACCGACGTTGCGTCGCGTACAAGATAAACATCCAAAACCAAAAGGCTACTCCATCAAATTCCGTTTTATCCAAACACAAAACAAAACCCGCCACGACACCACTTCCCACTGCCACGACGGCTCTCATTCGCTCTCTCGGCCCCACGTGTCCCATCCCTGCCCAATCACAATTACACGATCCTAAATTAAACATTTAAATAATCTCTTCTTGACCTCACCCCGTTACGCCAGTCTCGTTATAATTGTAAACTGTAATGTGAAAATTACGTTTGGCGGTAAAGCATTTCCACACTAATCAGGCCCCGGCCAAACCGCGTTCCAATCTCCTCTCTCTCTCTCTCTCTCTCTCTCTCTCTCTCGCTGTGTTACTGTTTCAATTATCTGGAAGAACGATCGCCGACGGACGGAAGGGGGGAATTGGAACTTTTTTTCCCCTGGTGACGGTCCCGATCCTGATTTTGATTAGGGTTACGGGATGATCTTGTGGCCTGCGTGGGGATCAGATCAAATGCTTCTTTGATCGCGCCTCTGCTTAATTTCCCCTCTCAGCTTCGATAAAATCGATTTCCCCCAACCATGTCGGAAACCGCTCCTCCTCCATCATCAACTCGGAGTTGCGCTTATCTCGATGCCCTCACTCTCGAAATCGAGAAGAAGCTCCAACGGGTTCCTACTCTCTCTCTCTCTCTCTTTTCTCTTTTTTTTTTTTTTTTTTGTTTCTCGCAATTTCTCCTCTCCCTAGAGATGGACGGAAGTGCGGTTCCTGGGAATCGAGCTGCTGATTCTCGGATTCGCCTCCGTCCTCGAAGAACGTATTGTAGTTGGGATTATCGTAGTGGGGAATTGTTGATTTCGAGATGAAATTTTGGCTATATATTGGATCAATTTGTGATAATTGAGATGGAAGTGCCAAAGAATTGGAAGCAACTGTGATTTTGTTGATTGGTAGCTTCGTTATTGACCGGTTCTTTTTTTTTTTGTTCTGGTTTAAGCTTAGTGCTGGAGTCACGGTTTGCATTTAACTTGTTTCAGGCACTAGCTTCCTCGTCTCAGAGACTCAACTTGTTGCAAGAGCTGTTCGCCGACATTGCTTTAGAAGTTGATGAGCGGGCCAAAGGTTAGTGCATGCAGGAATTTCCTACTGGGTTTCCGGGTTTTTTCCTGTATTTCAGTTACATAATAACACTGGCAATCTGGGAATAAAATGTTATTTAGACAAGCTAATTAGTTATCATCATGAAAAGTTTGCATGTGACTTTGCCATAAAGGCCTGCAACTCTGGCACTTTTGGAGTTAATTTCATTTTTGGGACTACTTGCAAAAATATGTTGGCGGTTACAGAGTTCAATTGCCATAAAGTTACGAACTTGGTTTAGGTGCTTGCTATTGTGGTAAAAGCCTTTGGTTTAGCATTCTCATTCGTTGCACTGGAATTGAACACAGATATTATTCTCGGCAGGGAAGAAGATGCCATTTCTCCTGACAAGGATGGCTCTGCTACCGAATTGTGCTTTTACAATGTGCTTGCTGATTACTATGTCGAGGCGCCTGAAAGTGGGAAGAGAATCCTTGATCTGATTGTCCTTCTCTGGAGTCAGTCATTTGCATCACATATATTCGCACTTCTGTTTCATAAATGGGTAAGTTCACCTTGATGTATGTTCTGTAACCACTGTTTGGATTGAACCTCTTCTGCTTGCCACTGGCAGTTGGATTGATTGATTAAAAATGGAACAGACATCTCGTGAACCATCGAAATTTCATCGATAACTTCCTGGGAGCTTGGCTCAAACTGAAGTGTTAACAGATGATAATTCTCTATTAGCTGACTACTTATTGAAGCTTCTCAACTATTCCAGAATTGTTTCATAGTTCTGATACTCAATCTAAATTATCCCTTACCGGGTTCTCTGTGTCTTGATAGAATGGAATGATATATCTAGGGTCGGTGAATCCATAGGCTGGTTATGACTCATAAGAACCATCTAAGGGAAACATTTTGAGGTGTTTGCTGGGTCTGCTTTGTCACTGAATTTGTGTTCCCAGAGTTTCTGAAATTGTATACTCCAGAATCTAGATGCATTAGGCTCCTTCCTGACTGGATCCGGCGGTTGGTAAGGAGGCTAAATTCAGGGCTAGATGCTCTATTTAGCATAACGTTTACCCTCTTTCAGGGAGGGAAGATTTTCTATACTGGAACTAGAAATAGCTCTTTTGCAACTCATTTCTTTGATAAATTTGTTGGTTCCTCACTAAGAATGGAATTTATTTCACGGAATTATGACTGATATTACTTATTGTTTCCTGCAGTTATTCGATGCACAACTGGATAGCAATGAGGTGCTTCTTCGTTACTCATCTGCTCTTGTTCAAGGTGCTACTAATGTTTTCTGGTATGATAACCAGCCTTCTGTATTGATTATTCTTGTTTCTTGTTGGGTATAGAATCACTTACTATCAGGCATCTAATGCTGGAGAACCCGCCAACCACCATCACCATTCTTGTATGATGTGCAATTGGTACATATAGGGGACAATATCCCATTCTTAGTTTGTGCTCATCCTTCAAACCTTTGCCTTGGATGTGGAGAATGAAGAGTACAAATTAGTGAATTACTAGGTTAATTCTTTCCTACATGGAAGATGCGTCATTTTCGCCTGGTGTTGTTTTATTGACTAGTGGCTGATATTTAACTGATGATATAACTCTTACTCTTCATACTGACCTGGGGTCGATTCTTGAACCGTGCTGCTGCTTCTCATCAATAGATAGTGAATATGTAGCACATGTTCCATCACACGGGAAAATGTGATTGTTGCTCTCTCTGCTGTTTTCCATTCCAAGTACCAACTGTGTGATTGACAGTAAAATAAAGAACTCTCTTAACTGTTCCTAACTTTCATGACCAGGATTGATATTCAAACAAACACAAGGCGTTTCCAGACTCTCTTTCATGTAAGTCTTTCTTGAGGAATGATCATGACATTCCTACCAAGGATTCTTTAAATTAAATGAAGTAGTTTTCTTTTCAAATATTTGTTAACTTGTCACCAGATAATTCAGCTGCCCTTTGTTGTTGGTTTCAGTACCTCCTCAACGAAGTGGCACTGGAGCCGTCGCGGTTGAATAAAATTCCAGTACAGGTCTGACAGCGTCAATGCTATCTACACTTCCTTGAAACTAGCGATCATAATAAAATCGTGTAAATAAAGTACTATGGTATTTCTTATGCGTGGGATTTTCTCATCACATTGTAATAAGTGTTGATTTATTTATTCAGGCACAGCGAGATTTGTTTCTCTTGCTTTCAAGATTCATACTATTTTACAACTTAGGTAAGCAATGATATAGCTTGTTTAGACCACTGCTGGCATGGTCCATCATTTCCTCTCTTATTTATAATATAAAAAAAATTCCGCTGGAGTGCAGTTGACAAGCTAGAGGGGTTCTTAGACCAATTCCCTGTTTTCCCAAATGCTTTCTTGGTTGGAGGTCCTGCAGATTTCTTTGTTATTGAACTTGCAGACCAGGTATGCCATTTTTTGTGTCTGGTACATGATGAAAAGTGATGAAAACAAGTATGTTTATATGCCCTTGCATGGCTTGTGACACATTAGCTACCCTGCTGCTGGAAACTATCTGTTTCAGATTCAAAAGTTGAAGGTGGAACCAGTTCTACTGCATTACCTTTCGGAAATAAAAGTTCTGCAAGGTAATTACTGTCACCAATTGGTTAATCTGATGTTGTCACTTGTTAGTTGTTACAACCTTTGCATACCCAACATTATGTTCTGTCATTCCATGTACTCTTATGATTCCACCTCCAAACTACATGTATCCTTCAGGTCGATGTATTCGACGATTCATGGCCGCAAAATCAGCCCTAACTGATCATCCATGAACTTTAACAGGCTTGGAACTGAGAATGACAACAAGTACTAGACTAAAGGCATGTCTATATAGCTTCACTTCTCCAGGCGGCCCAATGTATCCAACTAGAGCAGTTCGCCATGCGGCCTGGGATGCTTTAGACTTTCTGTTCCCTGTAAGTGCCTTGTTTACAGTGGTTGCTGCTATTCCAGCCTTTATTCCATGGCTCTTTGATTTGATGGATAACGCATTTGTGTCGTTTCCTTTCGCAGGTTGGACAATATCCACGGCACGTGATAAGTTTGTTTTTCAGGCTGTTGTATCCATGGTACTGGCCATCCTCGTGTTGGAACTTCATAGTGTCTTGCATTAAGGCCGTGTTTTTTTCGTTGTTGAGGCTGGTGTTTTCTAGTTGGGACAAGCTCAAACCCACCAAGGAACACTAAGGCTCTTGGACTGGAAAGATGCTACATCAGCAGAGGCAGAGATGTCCAAGTTCCTTGTTTTGTGTTGTAAATTATGTGTTCCTCTCTTCGTCTTCTTGTTTTCTCAACTAGCGACTTAGCAAGTGTCTGCTACTTTGGCCAGTTGTTTTCCGGTTCTACTTCACGAACATTTTTATCCAAGGAAAAGCGATTTTAGTTTGATTCAATGTATACTCGACCAATTTCTAGGCAGGACGCAAACCACCATGTTTTTGCCCAAATGGTTTGAGATGCACTTGTAGCTATAGAGAACGCCGAAAGAAAGGCAGCCAAAGTAATCATCAACAAAATACAGGAGTCAAGAGATCACTTGTTCTTCAAATGTGACTGTACAGCAAGTATTGCAATCTGTTTACAGGAAGAGCAGGTACCTTCCAGCTAGTTATTGGCAGGAGGGAGTTACCATGGCCGTACAGAAGTTTGGTTCTGATCCTATAGGACGATTCTCGTGGACATTTGGTGGTAAGTGTCTTTGGCAGGAAGGAGTTATTATGAGTTGAAAGAGTTGGTGGAAAGGACAAAGGGGACAGTAAGGATGAAATGCTTAGAGTATCCTGCTTTTGCAGTAGACCTGGCTGCCTCTTGTATTGGTGTTGTGATCGTATTCATGCAATAAAATATGTCAAATAGTGTATTAATGGTATTCAACGATAGGCCAAAATCACTAAGGGTTGTCAAATAGTGTAGTGTTTGAATACTATTACCACTAAAATAAAATTTTACAAAGGTTTATTTGTCCCAAATTTGGATCCAAGAGTTGTCAATTCACAGTGGTCGGGTTCGGCCAGCTTGCTCGGTTAATATTTGGGCTTGGGTTAAATGAACCTAGTCAATACCACATCAGCTTCATGTGGCCCAACAAGAATCAGCGTCACCGGTGCCACAGTTTTTATAGCGGCACCGTAGTATTGACCTAATTCACAAGTCAGGTAGGGCAGATAAGCGTTAAGGCCCATGTTGCTGACTCGCGGAATTTTGCGCCCGAGAGACCAATTGAAAGCATAGGCCCAACAGAGTGCTCCAAACCGGCATGCATGGGGACCTGATTATGGAAGAACGTCGTTCTAGTTAGCTCTCTCACGATAAGAAATTGGGCCGAAGCCCGCACCATTGCCTCGTGGAAGTTTGGATCAGCAAATCTAAACCAATTGAAAACACAGGCCCAAAAGAGGAAACAAAGATTTGAATATAACAAAAAAAAAAAGGAAAAATGAAGCACAGAATATCCTGCATTGATCATAAAATTAAATGATCGAATATTTTTATATGGAAATTGCTCGTTTTGTTTCCTTGTGAATAGACCAATAAGTAAATTCCTCCACTCTGGTCTACTATTATAAGAAGGGACGAGGAGCTAGACAGAGGGTGAAAAAAAACAGAGGTGAAGGGCACATAATATCCCGCAAATCAAAGTTCTCACATAAGATCTGGAAGAAGAAAAAAAAACCGTGAAGATGAAGATGATCATGGGAGTCCTGATGATGTTCTTGGTGATCCTGGCTTCGACAAGTCAGATAACAGCGGATTATGAAGTGTGTTTCTTTAAGTGCAAAGGCAATTGCAAGCAAGCAAATTACAGCGATTGTTTGATATATTGCCACAAGAAGTGCCAGAATGAAGGAGGTAACAAACGAGAGAATAGCAAATTTCGCGCTACCAACAACAACTTTAAGTTCGTTTAATAGTTGTTTGTAAATCATCCTCATATGCTTAGTGATGACGATGTTTTCCGACGTCTATGTTTGACGAAATAAAATGATGTTTTCCTACTGTTGGGCCACGTAGTTGAGCGGTCATGGGCCTCGGGCCCAGGAGGAAAGTACCAGCTAGTTGGGCCCAATGGAGTATCCGGCCCAGTGAGGTCAGTCCAGGGTGACAGGCGGTCCCAGGCCGACTCCAAACCCAAGGAGTGTCCAGAACCGCCTGACATAAAGCGACTAACCATGACAGAAAGCAAAGATCCGTTGAGCTGCGTACCTCGGGCTGGGTAAGACTGAGCATTTATTGCTCGTCAAAGGCGGTCCACCTAGGGAGTAGATCTGTCAGGGACGCCTGACGTAACATTAAATGACTCAACCACCACCACACCAGGTATAAATGCACCATGAGAGCATTGATGGTAAACTCAACTACTCTCTCTCTCTAGAACAAACACATCATTACACACTTCTCTATCTAACTTAAGCATTGGAGGGTGTCCCGGGCAACTGCCCACGGACCCTTGTTTTGCAGAGATCTGGAGTGCGTTCTCCTTCCAAGAACAGACGCGACACCCCTGTCCTACAAACCGCCTAGTACTTACTAGGCACAAACAATTTGACGCCCACCGTGGGGTAGAGGTGAAGCACTAAAGAAAGGATGGACAGGAGCTCCGGAACTCCATTCAAGGACGTGGTTGGTAGGGAAAGAATCGGAGGTTTGGAAATGCCGACGGTCGAGGAAGAACAAGACATGGAGGAACGTGTGAAAGAGCAAGGCTAGCAGATCTCCAGCATGCAGGAAAGCCTAGGCCAGATCCTCGCCATGCTCAAAGCCAGAGACGAGCCAGAAAGCGCCAGCAAGCAGAAGGACAAAGGCAAGGGAGTTGAAGGAGAGATTCCCGTCAGCCCTGCTCGGACAGAAGGCGGGGAATCTGAAGAAGAAGACGGGACAGAAGGCGCCTCCCTCAGCTTCCTAGAGGAGCACTTGCGACCCACCTACGGAAAGGCGAAAGCCTACAATGTTCTGCAGAACCCCTTGGCAAAGAGTCTGTTCAAAACTCAAGTGTCGTCGAACTTCTCGTCCCTAGGACTACCCGCTTATGGTTGGAACTCGGACCCGACGGACCACCTGAGCGCCTTTATGCTCAAGATGCAGCTGATAACCGCCTCAAATGCCGACATGTGCAAGGCGTTCCCTGTTACCTTCAGCGATCAATGCCGGAGTTGGTACACGTCCTTACTAGAGGGGATTATTGAGAACTTCGAGCAGTTCGCCACCCTATTCTCGTCCAAATTCGCGTCACAGCGAAGAAGGCAGCTTACAGTGTCAGCACTCATGAACTGCAAGCAAGGGGAGGAAGAAACGGTGATGGATTTCTACGATCGTTGGAATACGATAGAGTGTGAAGTCCAGGGCATATCGGCTAGCGTGGCCGCCAGAAACCTAAGGATGTCCACGCATAGCCAAGAACTAAAAAGAGCCCTCATCAAGTAAGAAAACAACATAGGATCCTGGCCAGATTTGGACTGTTTGGTGAGGACAGCTATATTCTTGGAGGAGGCGCCGACGACGAAAGACGGCGCTAAAGGGATGCACACTCGCACAACGAAGGGGGGAAAAGGAAAAGGAGGATCGCCAAAAGGAAGGAGACGCTCGCCCGACAGGCGCGGTTATAAGTCATGATACAACAACCGAGATGGAAGACGAGAAGTATTTACCGCTGAAAGGGAAGACGACGGGCGTCGAGGAAGAGGCAGTTCGAAGGAGAGGCATCCACGGCAGCGAAAGGAGGACGACGAAAAGTGGTGCGACTAGCATCAACTGGCGACTCACGACACCACAGAGTGCCGTGAGTTCAAGGCCAGCCTCAAGTACTTAGCCCTCGGCGATTTGAGGAGTCGTCTGGACACCCGGACGCATGACAAAAGTCGAGCAGAAGAAAAAGATAGGTCGTGGAGCCCGAGGAGGAGATCCCGCACCCCCCGACGGCGGAGGTCCAGGTCTCCCAGGAGAGAGCGGTCACCCAGACGAGACCGCCTCCCCCCCCCCCCCCCCTCGCGACACCAAGCTCGCGCCGACGAGGACGATGTGGAATTCATCACAATTGCAGGCGGGCACAGGCGCCCGCGAACTGAAGGAGAGCGTTCAGTGCATGAACGTGCACAGGAAAGAGCAGGTTGAGATTAGCTTCGCACCCTCGGAACTAGCGCCGGAGGAGTGTGGGGAAGACCCGTTGGTCATCTCCTTTCGGACAAAGAAATTCAAGGTCACCAGGGTGCTGGTCGACAACGGAAGTTCCGCCGACATCCTGTTCTATTCCACTTTGAAAAGCATGAAGAAGGGAATACAAGACCTTGTGTCGTCTACCACCAGCCTGGTGGGTTTCTCTGGGTCCAAAGTCAGAGTGTTAGGGTCCATAACGCTCCAGGTGACCATAGGGGGTGCGGGAATAACCAAAATGCGTCTCATGACTTTTCACGTGGCAGACTGTCCGTCCGCGTACAACGCCATCTTGGGGCGCGGTTTCCTGTCTATGTTCTCGGTGGTCTCCTCCACTTGCCATCAGATGCTAAAGTTCCCTACAAAGGAAGGAGTGGGATGCGTACGGGAGACTCGCAGCAAGCGAAGGAATGCTATCAAGCCACGATCAGAAATTTGGAGGTCGATCAAGTGGACGCGCGAGGAAGCCATCCGCGCCCAGAGGCGGCCGAGGAGGACACCGTCGTAGTCCTCGATGAGGAGGATCCTGAGAAAAAAGTGAGGATCTCATCCCACCTCTCAGAAGAACGAGCCCGGGAGCTCTTATCACTCCTAAAAGAATACAAAGACCTGTTCGTGTGGAGCTCAGAAGACATGCCTGGCGTCTCAAGGGAGCTTGCCGAGCACTCCCTAGCGGTGAAAAGTAAGGCAAAGCCAGTGCAGCAGAGGAGAAGGAACGCCTCTCTCGAAAAACATATGGCCCTGGAGGAAGAAGTCAACCGCTTGCTCAAAGCGAGATTCATCAGGGAGATCAAGTTCCCAACCTGGTTGGAAAACCCGGTCTTCGTGCGAAAGGCGTCTGGCCTGTGGCGGATATGCATCTATTTCATGAGCCTCAACGCAGCTTGTCCCAAGGACGTGTATCCGCTGCCTCGAATAGACCAACTGATAGACGCCACAACTAACCATGAAACTCTGAGCTTCCTGGACATGTTCTCAGGATATCATCAAATCTGGCTATCTGAAGAAGATCAGGAGAAGACCGTGTTCATGACGCATATGGGAAATTTTTGCTACACGGTCATGTCGTTTGGACTAAAAATGCAGGGGCAACGTATCAGCGAATGATCGACGCGGTTTTCCAAAAACAGCTGGGGAGGAACGTGGAGGCATACGTTGATGATGTCCTAGTCAAAAGCAAAAAAGGCGCCGATCACTTGGCGGACCTAAGAGAGACTTTCGACAATCTGAGGAAAGAGCGCCTACGATTAAACCCGCTCAAATGCGTGTTTGGAGCCAAGGCGGGAAAGTTTCTCGGCTTCATGATCACCAGCAAAGGGATCGAGGCCAACCCAAAGCAAATTGAAGCAATACTCAGCCTGAAGCCGTCAAAGACGGTGAAGGAAATACAAGCGTTCAACGGAAAGATGGCCTCCCTAAGCCGCTTCGTCCCAAGAGCAGCCGAAAAATGCTCCCCATTCTTCCAGATGTTGAAGAAATCGGCATCCTGCCTACAATGGGGCGCGGAGTGTGACAAAGCCTTCTTCCAGTTAACGGAGCAGTTGGCCTCCCCACCAGTTCTCAACGCCCTCGTGTGAGGAGAACCGATGTACCTCTATCTAGCGGTTTCGGAGCAGGCGGTTAGCTCGGTACTGGTGAGAAGAGACGTTTATGGCTCAGACCACCCAGTCTACTACGTCAGCAAGGCGCTCCTCCCGGCGGAAAAACGCTACATGCCCATCGAAAAGGCGGTCTTAGAGGTCATCTCCGCGGCAAAGAAACTACGTCCCTATTTCCAAGGCACCAGATCACCATTCTTTCAAACCTACCGCTGAAAAAGATCCTAAGAGGCATGGACGTTTCTGGGAGAATGACAAAGTGGGCGGTCGAACTAAGTGAGTACGACATCACATACGCCCCGCATCCCGCCATTAAGGGGCAGGTGCTCGCAGATTTCGTGGCAGAAGGTTTCTACCTCGAAACTGCCTCGAAGGAAGGGGGAGTTGAAGTCTGGCGCCTTTTCGTCGATGGAGCCATAGGAAAGGGAGGAGCAGGCGTTGGAATCGTCATCGAGTCACCACAAGGAGTCATACATGAATTCTCTCATCGGTTCCAGGAGCTGAAAACCAACAACATGGCGGAGTACGAGGCCCTCCTCGGCGGTCTCAGAATCGCCACAGGCAAGGGTGCGGTGCGCCTCCACATATTCTCAGACTCCTTGCTGGTAGTTAACCAAGTTCTAGAGCACTACGAAGTGAAGGAAGAAGCGCTAGCCAAGCTAGCAGGCGAAGTAAGGGGCATCCTCTCTCAGCTGGAAGAGTGGAAGTTGGAGCATGTCAAAAGGGAAGACAACCACCACTCGGACGCACTGTCAAATTTAGATACTGCGATGGATTTCAAGGGAGACCGCCAGGTCACGGTAACGAAAGAATCCAAGCCGAGCGGCGAGGTAATGGCGCTAGTGGAAGAAGGGGACGATTGGCGGTCCCCCATCGTCGACTACTTACAGAAAGACAAACTCCCAGCTGATGAGGCTCAGGCTAAACTAGTCAAAAGGAAGGCGGCTTAGTATGCAATGGTGGGAGAGAAATTGCACAAGAGATCATTCTCAGGTGCGTGCCTAAAATGCCTAGGCCTCAGCGAAGCCGCCTGGATTATCATGGAGATGCATCAAGGCACGTGCACCTCGCATGCAGGACCGAGAAGCCTCAAAAAAATGGTGTTGTTGCAGGGGTACTATTGGCCAACGGTGAAAAAGGACACCGAGAAGGTAGTCCGGGGATGCCATGAATGTCAAATTCACGCCAACAAGCAATACCTACCGAGCGTCGAGCTAAGAAGCATAACGAGCCCATGGTCGTTCTCGCAGTGGGGGCTGGATCTCCTGGGCCCTTCCCGACCGGCCCCCTCGGAAAGAAGTACCTGGTAGTAGCAGTGGACTATTTCACCAAGTGGATAGAGGCCGAGCCGCTAGACACGATCACAAGTGCCAAGATTCAGAAGTTCCTCTTCAACAACATAATGATCAGGTTTGGAACCCCCAACACAATCATCACTGACCATGGCACACATTCCGATTGCAGGTCGTTCGAAAAATTTTGCGCCAAGAACCGCATAACTTGCAAAATGGCGTCAGTCGCATTCCCCCAATCCAATGGGCAGGTGGAATCGTCCAACAAACTCATCCTGCGAGGTCTCAAGCGAAGGCTCAAGGACGCCAAAGGAGGCTGGACCGCCGAACTGCCACATGTACTCTGGGCGCATCGCACCAATTACAAGAGAGCAACTGTAGAAACTCCATTCGCTCTGACATATGGCTCTGAGGCGTTCGCACCCGTGGAGGTAGCTCTGCCTTCCCTGCGGGTCTAAACCTACGACCCAGAAGAGAACCACAGGAAACTCTTGCATCAGCTGGACATGATAGAGGCACGGCGAGAAGCGGCTCTGGTCCGAACCATACAGGAGAACCTCAAGGTCGCGAAGATCTACAATGACAAGGTGAAACCACGCCCGCTGGAGGAGGGCGACCTGGTGCTGAAGCGGAACTTCGAGCAGAAGGAAGGGCATGGTAAGCTGGCCGCCATATGGGAAGGATCGTTCCTGGTAGGAGAGAAGATTGGGACTGCCACGTACGTGCTGGCCACCATGGAAGGAAAGCCATTATCCTAGACGTGGAACGCCATTCATCTCAAGAAATACTTCAGCGAGTAATGGGAGCAAAAGGCAGGCCAAATTCTGTAAGGGGTAAAGGCTACAGGGCATAGCATATTTTGTATTACCAGCTGGAAAGTGAACAGCTCCAAGTACCCCCGAGATTGGGAAACTCGAACCACCGCCGAGCTATATATATATATATATTCCAAAAATATTACGCTTGTCCTAACAACGCTAACCGCCTCCGAGCTGTAAAGGCGCAGAGTGCCTTGCGATACTCAATACGCTCCTCAGCTTAATGTTCATGATATTCTCCCAACCGCCCCTGGGGCGATGCTTCTAAGTAAGGCATTAATGCTAACGAACCTGCCGATCTAACACGCCCCAGCGCAGCATATGGGCATAACTCGTTGTGAAACCCTTAAAACCGCATAAGAGGGCAATACAATTGCATTAGTTTCCCTAACGCCCCTGAGCAATGCAACAAGTTTAGGTAGTCCATGCACTTTCGTCTACCTTTCAAGGCAATGCTGGCCAAACCAACGCAAGGGGGGCATCGCCACGCGGTCGCCCCAAGATAGATAAAAAAATAAAGTCTAAGTTAATAAAATGCGCATAAGCATAAATATAGGAAGGTTTATAGAGTTACATCGCTCAGAGGCACAAAAAACATAGCAACACAGCACGGCCACAAAAATTGCCAAGTAAACAAACTTAAACAGAACCGCCATCAGCCGGAGGAGCCTGTTTCACTTCCTCGCCCGCGTTAGGGCCTTGGGCCTCAAGCTCCTCGGAGTTGACATCATTGTCACCCCAGAACTCAACAGCGTCCCAGACTGCATTGCGGTCCCAAACCACGTCAGGGTGCTCGCGGCGGAACAAGTGGCGGATGGAAGCGACGGTATCCCTCAGGAGCTTGTTATACTTGGCCTTGTCGAATGCCTTAAAATCATCTTACTCGAAGAAGGAAGTCGTGGCGGTTTCCCTGTCTTCCCTCAGCTCCGCTTCCCGCTTGACCTCCATGACGGCCAAACTGGACTCCAACTCTTTCACCTTGTCAGAGAGCCACTTCTCCCGCTCGGCGGTCTCCGACGGCTATCTCCTGGCGCGTCCCAGCTCCTTCTCCACTTTGGCGAGATCACCCTTCGCGACCGCCAACTCTGCGTCTTTAGCTTGCAGGACAACCTCTGCTCCTTAAGGATCTCACCGCAACTCCTGCCGCAACTCGTCACGCCCCTCCGCCAGCTGGTCTTGTAGCTTCACAATCCGGGTGTCACGGTCGTCCAGGTCGCCTTGCAACCGGTCATTGTGAAGCATAAGTTGGTTAATCCCAAATTGAGCCTACGTACCAAAAGTAAGGTAAGTGGTTAGCAAGCGGATAAATAAACAAGTCACATGCCTAGTCAGCATACATACCGCAAAGAAGCGTCGAGCGGTTGTTGCGGCTAGATGGCGAGTGTCGAAGGTCAGCACGGGAGTCCCAGTCACGCGGGTGTACCCGCTGGGAACCGCGAACCCTTCAGCAATAACGTGCATAGCACGCTTGGCCGGCTCAGCAGAGGTGGTCACTTGCGGGGAGTAGGACGCACTAGAAGTGAGCTCGGTGGTCTTCTGCCTTTTCTGGGCCGAGTAGGCAGCTAAAGGGTCGGAGCGCGGTTTCTCGACGAGGATACCCTTCATCTTCTGCTGGCCCGCAGGCGGCTGACTCTCCTTGGCCGCCTCAACTTCTATAGGGCACTTCGTAGCGCCGCGGCTCGCCCCCTGACCGGCGGGTACCGTTAGCTTCAGCAACCCTGAGCGTCCCAGTGCTAATTGAGACTGGGTTGAACCGCTCGGCGCTGAAGGGGCAGCATACTGTGAGCCGCTGGCCGTTATCCTCGGTGGCTCACCGAAGACGCGTACCGCCGGATGCCTGCAAAGTAAACCCATAAGTAGAGGATATGAGAAATCACCATCATATTCCAACTAAAGAAGACTAAATAACCGTGAAAACGCCAAACGATCTCAAGAGCATTATCATGCCCATGCGGAGGTAAGCGAAACTGGACGTAGACATGATGTGCTTCAGGTGAGGCTTTAGGTGGTTATGGCCCTTAACGCCCGTGTCCCAATCATCTTTATTGCCGATCACATACCCGGTCAGTGGCTCGCTCTCACCCAAGTACCATTTCCCGCTTGGGCGAGCAAAGAAGTACTCCGTGTACCAAGGGGAATCCAGCTTTGGCAACCCATAGACAAACCCTATGCGTTTGTCACGCCTACGACACGACCAGCAGTTCTTGGAACCGCCTATGGCGTACATGAGGCAAAAGGCATCGATAGACGGTTCCTCCTTCAGGCGGTCGCAAGCCGCTATGTAGCAAAGGGAATGAAAGACGATGGAGGGAGAAAGGCGGCTCAAAGAGCAATTAAGGTGCAGCAAAATCTCAGTCAGCAATGGGTCCAAGGGGAATTCCAATCCTAACCGCACGTTCTCAACGAAAACGGTAATCCAACCCACCGGGCATGACCCACAGCGACCGGCCGCGGAAGGAGCGGCATACTCCCAGTCAGTCGGCAGCGGATGCCACTTTAGTTGCTTGAGCACTTGAGCGGGGGAGTACGTAAGGTCATAGGGAGGTCTGTATTCTTATACGGCCGCAGGAATCTCCTCGCCTTCCCACATATCCTCGTGGAGGCGCACGCGGTACCTATCATCCGCAATCGCTTGAAAGGGATGGACAAGAGGCGCTTCCGACAGCTTCAGAGATAGAGCGTCGGCAACGGAGTCCTCGGCGTCTGATAGCATCGTATTTGCACGTGTTTTCACTCGGATTTCTTGTCCATTTTGGCTCGAATTGATTGTTGCTTGGCCTATTTTACGCTAGGTTGTGTTGTTTTGCCATATTTCAGGTCTTAGCAAGTACAGAGGTGCATAGGCGCAAGTTTCAGGTCATTCGGAGGTCAGATGGCGAATCACAGAACGAATTACGGGCAGCCCCTGCCAAATTACGACCGTAATTGGTCAGGGCATGCCCGTAAAACAATTGCCGAGCCTTTTCCCCAGAATTTCCTCTCGGTGATAAAATTACGGGCAAGACTCCCAAGAATTACGACCGTAATTCCCAAATTACTGGCGGTAATTGTGAAATTACGAGCGTATTTTCTCCTCCTTCAGCTTAATTGAAACGTGCGTTTTGGGGCGAATTACGGGCAGGACGTGATTACGGCCGTAATTCAGCCCGTAATTCGCCCAGAGTCGGGTTTTTGAGGCCAGAATCGAGCCAAGGAAGGGGAGATCGAATTTCTTGAGCAAAAACAGAGTTTTAGAGAGAGAAAGTGCGAAGAACTCACCCTAGAAGCCATCTTGGAGCTGGGTCTCATCAAATCAAGCTTGGAGATCGTCCTAGGAGTGGAAATCATCATCCCGGAGCAGATTATCCTCATCATTATGAGTATGACTACTCCGATTACTGTTTTCTTTTCTCTCTCTATGGAGTAGAACCCTTCTCTCACTTGGGTATGAAGAACCCTAGTTCCTTGTGTTAGGGGATTGATTGTAATGACTTGGGATGATATTACTGTTTGATTTTAATCGAATGATACATGTTTATTGAGTCAATTGAAGTCTGATCAACTTTTCCTGATTCCTGCTGCAATCTGAGATAGATAGAATCTGATTAGGTTGCTAGAGTCTCATCATTCGATAGTAGGAGACTGGTTATACGAGAGTTAGCCAGTTTACTGCTTTGTACTGGAATCTAATTCCAGTAGTGAATTTCTGTTCTTACTGCTTCAGCTTTCTATCCCGGTGAAGACTAGTCGTCTGCCGGGTAGTTAGACTGAGAGGGCTTGGTCAGCTTAAGAGATTCCAAGCTACTGCCGGATCTTCCGCAGTCTAATCAACAGTAAATCAACCCAGGGTAAATTGCAATTGAAACCTAACTAAGGAGCTAGGGGGATTCATTCCCGAGTGACTCTTTCCTGCTTAAGAAAACCGAATAATTTCCTGCTTTATTTCTGCTTTTAGTTTAAACAACAATCACTTACTCTAGTTGGCTAGATAACAGAGAATCACTGAGTAAGCAGTAGATCTAGAGCCCGGGTTGATAATATAACTTGCCTGTTACTGCATTCCCGGTCTGCGATTACACTTGGTCGCAGATTGGTGTTGTGTTTTGGCGTGTCAAGTTTTTGGCGCCGTTGCCGGGGATCCTCTAGGTTATTGGGGAAACGTGAGAATTTGTTACTCTAGCTTTTTATTTTCTGCTTTTTATTTCTTCCACCTGTGTGCCTTCACGGGTTGTTTCTGCTGATTGTGTGCAGGTAGTGCATGACCCGTAGCCAGTCGGGAGATCTACTACCACTAGGCCAGGAGCTTGAACGAACCTGCCGAAACTTCAAGCGGGCTCTAAAGGCGCGACTGGCTGCGGAGGAGGCGCTATCACAGCTGCAGTTAGAGGAGGAAGAAGAAGAGATGGCTGAACCAGGGAACCATGCTGTGATCCCCGAGGAGCAGACCATGGGCTCCTACTGGACCGCTAGGGCTGCGGACATGAGGTCACCCATTCAGCACCCTCAGGTCCCAGCCAACAACTTTGAGGTGAGCACCTCCGTGATCACCATGCTGCGCGGTTCAGTAGTGTTCCGTGGTAAGGAGGGAGAGTGCCCTCGATCACATCTCAGGCGATTCCACGAGCTCATCGATGGAATCAAGATCAATGGGGTACCAGCAGATGCCATCCAGCTGAGGTACTTCCCATTCACTCTGGAGGGGCAGGCCAAGGAGTGGCTAGACACTCGATCTCCGGGCTCCATCACCACGTTCGCCAACCTGGCGGACAAGTTCCTCACCCGCTACCATCCTCCATCCAAGACAGCTGACCTGCAGAAGCAAATTACACATTTTGCTCAGGATGAGGATGAGACCATCAGGGATGCATGGGAGAGGTACAACAGTCTTTTCCTCAGGTGTCCCAATCATGGTTTCAACGATGCGTTCAAGGTGGGCACCTTTTATCACGCCCTCTTCCCGGAGGACAAGCAGCTGATCCATTCGGTTTGTGGCGGGAACATGCTGACCAAAACCCCGCCACAGCTGAATCAACTCTTTGAAGAGATGGCGGAGAATGGTTATGATTGGGGCACTGCCAGGAGATCGAGGAGAGCACCAGGCCGGGGTGTGCATGCTATGGGCACCCAGTCATCTGATTTGGTGCAGGTAGTATCGAAGCTGGTCTCAGCTATCGATCGTTCCGGGATGATTCCAGGGACCGGACAGCAGCAGGCGATGCTCTGCCAGTGGTGCGAGAGCACCCATCATATGGTGGAAGACTGCCAGGCGATGAAGGAATCGACCACGCCCCAGGAGCAGGTGAACTTCATCAACAATGTCAGGCGCAATGACCCCTACAGCAACACGTACAATGAGGGGTGGCGCCAGCATCCTAACTTCTCCTGGACTGGGCCAAATCCCAAACCACCAGCTCCACAGGGACCACCGGGCTTCCAGAGGCCACCATATCAGCCCAGACAGGGGCAATTCCAGCAGCCAGGTGCAGCCCCTGCTGCCCCAGTGCAGAATGATCAGATGGCTGAACTGCGGGACTTGGTGGGTTCTCTTGCCAGTGTTAGTGCTCAGAAATTCAACACCTTTGAGCAATTCATGGAGAAGGCCTCGGGTCAACTCCTGGCTCTGGAAGCTGGTCAGAGGAATACACGGGCTGTTTTGCAGGATATCCAGACCCAGCTGGGGAGCGTGGCCCAGGCAGTGGCTCAAAGGGCTCCTGGTACTCTACCAGGGCAGACCATCCCTCACCCGCCGACCCCGAATGAGCGTTGCAATGCCATCATGACCAGGAGTGGCAAGATGACTGTTGATCCCCCTGCTCGGGAACCGGAGAAAGAAAGCCCTGTCTTAGCGGCTCCAGCGGTTGAACAGGAAGTAGAGAAGGAAGTTGAGGTGCCTGCACCTAAACCACAACCAGTAGTGAAGGAGTATGTCCCTAAACTCCCTTTCCCTACTCGGTTGCACAAAGACAGGCTGGAGGCAGAGTTCGAGAACTTCATGGCCATGCTTAAGAAGCTGAATGTCCAAGTGCCCTTCCTGGAGGCACTATCGCAAATGCCAAAGTATGCGAAGTTTCTGAAAGAGCTTCTCTCAAAGAAGCAGAAGCTGAGTGAGCTGGCCACGGTAGAGCTCAGCGAGGAATGCTCGGCTATTCTGCAAAACAAGCTTCCGCAGAAGAAGAAGGACCCAGGTAGTTTTACTATCCCGTGCTCTATTGATAAATTGCATGTAGAGAAGTCCTTGGCGGATTTAGGTGCTAGTATCAATGTTATTCCATATAAATTGTTCATGAAACTAGGCCTAGGTGAACCCCGTGCTACTAGGATGACCCTTCAATTAGCTGACAGATCTGTAGTGCATCCTAGGGGTATAGTGGAAGACCTTCTGGTTAAGGTTGGCAAATTCACATATCCCGTGGATTTTGTTATCTTGGACATCAGTGAGGACACAGAAGTGCCTCTTATACTGGGAAGGCCTTTCCTGGCCACCGCCAAGGCTCTCATAGATGTGCATGATGGGACCTTAGTTTTGAGGGATGGCGAGGAGCGAATAACGTTTTCTGTTGCTGATACTATACCTGCTTCGTCACCTCTGCATGCTGTATCTCACCAGGAGCACGAGTCTGTCGTGTATCCTTCTTTGCTGCCCATTTTGCAGGAACCGCCTCCCACACCTTCGCCGCCACTCCGGACCACTCCGTCACCCAAAGAACAGATCAAGGAGGAGTGGCGGCCGAAACTGCAGGCAGCTAAGCCTGCTCGAAAGAAAGCCGGAGACCACTATGACCTGGTCCCGCCCCCTCCTTGGCCATCCGAGTATTCACTCGCTTGCATCCTACCGGATGGCCAAGTCGAGCTGGCGAATGCAGGTGGCCACATTCGTCGCGTGCATGGCCACCATTTGAAGCTGTACCTCAAGAGCGATGTGGATCCGCTCTTGAAGGCACCTGATCCTACACTTCCCTGAGCATCCATACTGGCGTCCAGCTAAAAGACGGTAAAGAAGCGCTTGTGGGGAGGCAACCCCACCTCGGTTTGCATTTCTATCCTTTTTTCCTTTTAATTTTTGTCGTTTTCGAGTCATTGAGTCTGTTTGGAGTCTTACTGGAATGTTTCTCGTGCCCCGGATGGTCCATTTTGGTCTATGTTGGTGTATTTTTTTGAACCGGGGCACGATTGGGTTTGGTTGTTCGAAATTGCAGCTCAAAAACTGGAGAAAAAGGGCCCTCGGCAGTAAAATTACGGGCAAGGGGGGAATAATTACGGCCGTAATTACCATGCCCCCTGCCCGTAATTCACCCAGAACAGAAAAAAAAGCCTCGGCAGTAAAATTACGGGCAAGGGGGGAAGAATTACGGCCGTAATCCTTATTACCCCTGCCCGTAATTCGATCAGAGGGGGAATACTGCTCTCGGCAGTAAAATTACGGGAAAGGCCAGGGGTAATTACGGCCGTAATTCTGCCCGTAATTACACCCGAGACCAGTTTCAAAAGTGCTCGGCCGGGACCCTCTCTCTCTCCCCCATTTTTTTTCAGACCAAATTCCCTCTCCTCTCACCGGAAACTCGAACCACCCTCTTCTCAGGTGGTTTTCCGGCCATATCTCACTCACCGGAGGTCCAAATCAAATTCCGAGACCACCCCCATGCTCCTCTCGTCGGCGCCCACAAGTCTATACTAGTGGGGTTGAGTTTCGTGGTGGTTTGGGTCGCCGGAAAACCGCGACCCTTCGGTGTTCCTCCGGCCAAATCTCTCTCCTCCGACCTTCAATTGGAAAACCGCGACCACCACCGTGTTCCTGGTACCCGGGGCCTCATTCCCCAAAGTTTTGGGTCAGTTTGGCTCTGGTGAAGTCGCCGGCGACGACACTCCGGCGAGCTTTCCGGCGAGCTCCCCGGCGATTTTCGTGTTCTCTCGTTTTTCCCTCACCTTCCCCGCGATATCTTCTTGTGCCTCCAGGTGTGCTTCTCTATTTTTACTTGTCATTTGTGAAGGATTGATATTGTGGGTTTAGTGAGGAAGTTCGGGGATTGGTTTGTGCTTTGCTTAATTCGGTAGGCCTCCTGTATTGCTTGCTGTGTTTGTTCATTCTTTGGGTGGCCTACCGAGTATATATGAGTCGTGGTTGCCCCGCTTGGAGCCTAATTTGCTGTCCGGATGTATGATCCGAGGGCTCCAAGTGCGTTCGAGTTGTGTGAATGGTGAATGTTTCAGATTGATTGTGAATGTTTTTCCCTTCCTGGGGCCTAGTCCACTGTCCGAACTTATGATTCGAGGGCCCCGGGTGAGGATGATTGTAACCTCACCATTGACGAATTTCCACGTATGTTGTTGGGTTTCTGCTGTTTTGTGGCTGCAGGAAGATGACAACCTACTTGGCCATGCTCGACGCCGACCAGAGGAAGATTCTGAAGGACATCCGACGCCGCAAACTAGTTAAGCACCATTACCTCGATTGGAGGGTTTTCGAGGAGCTGGGCGCTCGCGAAGCAATGGAGGCTGCCATCCGCGCTTACTCTTGGCGCCGCCTCCTCTGCCTCGCTGAGCCGACCTATCAGGAGCTTCTCTGGGAGTTCTACTCTACCTTCGAGCATTTCCAGACCCACGCGGGCTCACACGGCAACGCCATCCAGTTCCGACTCGGAGGCGAGTTTTACTCCCTGAGCTACGATGACTTTGGTCGGGCACTGGGGCTCCTTCCACCTTTCGCCTGTCACCTGGCGATCGAAGAGCCCGACAGTCCCATCTTTCGGGACCAGCAGTTCTTCGAGAGGATCTGCCTCCCGGAGTTCTCAGACGCTGTTTTCACACCGGGCCACACCACGGCCACTCAGCTGCGCCCAGAGTGGCGCATCATCAACCAGCTGTTGGGGAAGTCTTACACCCCCAGCGAGGGCTCCACCAGTCATCTTCAGCTCCGCACCTTGCATTGCCTGCACTCCATGAGCCACGAGGTGGACAACCTCCATCTGTCCTCCCTCATCGCCAGGACTGTCGTCAGGGCTTCTCGGTGTGGTCGACCCCTGGCGTGTGGGCCGGTGGTCACTGCCCTGGCACGGTACTACAACATCGACCTCTCCAGGTTCACTCTCATCCAGGAGGCGAAGCCCTTCTCCAGGGACACCCTACGGCGCCAGCTGATACTAGAGAAGGAGGGGGACGTGACCTGGATCCGGGGCCTTCCTCGCCCTGTTCCTCGTGCACCAGCGGGTGAGGAACTCCCTGAGGCGAGTGCTGCTGCGGCCAGTCGGGCCAATCGTCGTCGGCGGAACACTCCTTCTGCGCCTGACGCCTCCGCCTCTGCTGCCGGCCCATCTGCTGCCGCCCCCACCACTTACATTGCCGAGCAGCTGGCGGCCCTTTCCCGCCAGAATGAGCAGATCCTTCTTGGCCAGGAGCACCTCAACGCCCGCCTCGACCGTGAGCGCGAAGGTCGCCGCCGCATCATCTCAGCTCAGCATTATATGATGAGGTACTGGAACATGGATCCTGCTGCTGTTAGCTACCCTTGGGAGGCGTCCCCGGGGCATGAGGACAACTACCCGCCCCCGACCGGCGATGGAGGGGATGAGTACTGAGCTGGCTTTTGCTAGCCCATCGAGTTGGGCTTCGCTTTTTCTATCTTTCCAGACTTAGACTCCGTATTGTGTTTGGTTTTTATTCCTTGTTCCGTATTGTGTGGATTGTTGACTTGGAACTATGTTTTATTTCACCCCATGTGTGTGCTCTGTTGGTTTTAGCTCTGTGCCCGTCGGACTGGTCCTTGTCCAGTCCTCTGCTTTTGACTGGTCCGCCATCCAGTCAACATTCCTGACCACTGTTTCACGGTAACATCGTTCCCCTTCCCTCGGCTCCATTGAGGACACTGTCGCATTTAAGTGTGGGGGGGTTCTTTGTATTTATTGGAACGTATATATGGGTGCTTGGAGCCTAGTCCGCTGTCCGAATCTTACGATTTGAGGGCTCCAAGTACTGCTGTTTGATCATATTGGCACTATGTTTTGATTGATGAATTGAACGGTTTTCGGATTAATGCATGACAACTTGGTGGTGACTAGGACAACCTATGATGAGGGCTGAGATGTGCAGTAGAACGATGTAGGGGTTCAGTTTTTAAACTGTGTGCTTACCAACTGTGACTTGATCTGATCACTTGTCTTGACAGTCGTTTATGCATCTAGTTCAGGGTATCAGAATGTGAGATAGAGCATATAGGTAGCCATGTGAGATTTGAGCCTGCTCGTTTCTTTCTTGTGCGATAGATCCCTCTTCCATGATGTGTAGCATTCACGTTGTCACTAGCTAGGATGATGGGGGCATAGGATTAGCCCACGACCAAATTTGACTGTCCTGATGTGTCATACCCTCTAGTCAGCCCCTTTGAGCCGTGTGTTATCCTTTCTTTTTGGTCTATAATGAAAAAAATCACCCTTTTGCATCTTTTAGAAGGTTCCACAGAGTGGTTTTTACAGATTCTCTGCTGTTTCTGCTAAATTGAATGTGAGTGTTGGAGGTAGTGCCAAAAAGTTGGGCAGATGTTTGAAATATGTGCAGAAGTGGTGGCTCTCTTAAGAAATGAAAAGAAAATGAAAGAAAAACAAAGAAAAATTGAAAGCAAAGAGAGCCACTACCAAAAATCTGAATAATGCCCAGTAAGTAGTGTTTCTTAGCAGTCTGGCTTGGAAATACTGACATTTATACCTCCTTCGCTCTTGTGCTATTGAGATATTGAGTAATGCAGAATAGCAGAAAGGAAATACCGGTTTGTTTGACTGCGATTGTTTGGGTTTGGAAATGTGGAACCTTGTGCTATGAATACTTCCACCACTTAAAAGGCCTTTTCCCCATGTCCAAGACCCTAGCCAGTCATTTGAACCTGTGTCTAAAACCTCCTGATTAGTTAGTGGTGACACCCCATATGTGAGCTCTAGCATTTAGAGGCTGCCATCATGGTGAAGAGATGTTAGGGATTGAGAGAAATAGCATGCGCATTTTTCGCATCAAATTGTCCTGGCCCCACTGGTCGAGAGTGAGTGATTCATTTTCATATTCTATATACTCTTGTACCCTGGTGAGGACCTAGATTGCTCGGTCTCTATTCTGATGTCATGAGTTGGATGCATGAGTTGACTGTTTTGAGTAAGTGGTTGAGTCAAGTCTAGGTTGGTTGGTGAACAGAAGGGAGACTCTTCCTTTACTCGATTTTGCTGCACTCGAATGTCTTTTGTGGTGGTTGTCCAGTTTGCTATTGAAGTTGGTCATGTATTGCTGTTTGGAAACCAGTTCGATTCACGTGTTCTGTGCCTTTATGACTTGTCCCCAATGTTTGTTGATTGAAATATGTGAGCTTACCTTGTGTCTGACTTGGTTTGCTTGGGGACAAGCAAACGGTTAAGTGTGGGGGAATTTGATAGCATCGTATTTGCACGTGTTTTCACTCGGATTTCTTGTCCATTTTGGCTCGAATTGATTGTTGCTTGGCCTATTTTACGCTAGGTTGTGTTGTTTTGCCATATTTCAGGTCTTAGCAAGTACAGAGGTGCATAGGCGCAAGTTTCAGGTCATTCGGAGGTCAGATGGCGAATCACAGAACGAATTACGGGCAGCCCCTGCCAAATTACGACCGTAATTGGTCAGGGCATGCCCGTAAAACAATTGCCGAGCCTTTTCCCCAGAATTTCCTCTCGGTGATAAAATTACGGGCAAGACTCCCAAGAATTACGACCGTAATTCCCAAATTACTGGCGGTAATTGTGAAATTACGGGCGTATTTTCTCCTCCTTCAGCTTAATTGAAACGTGCGTTTTGGGGCGAATTACGGGCAGGACGTGATTACGGCCGTAATTCAGCCCGTAATTCGCCCAGAGTCGGGTTTTTGAGGCCAGAATCGAGCCAAGGAAGGGGAGATCGAATTTCTTGAGCAAAAACAGAGTTTTAGAGAGAGAAAGTGCGAAGAACTCACCCTAGAAGCCATCTTGGAGCTGGGTCTCATCAAATCAAGCTTGGAGATCGTCCTAGGAGTGGAAATCATCATCCCGGAGCAGATTATCCTCATCATTATGAGTATGACTACTCCGATTACTGTTTTCTTTTCTCTCTCTATGGAGTAGAACCCTTCTCTCACTTGGGTATGAAGAACCCTAGTTCCTTGTGTTAGGGGATTGATTGTAATGACTTGGGATGATATTACTGTTTGATTTTAATCGAATGATGCATGTTTATTGAGTCAATTGAAGTCTGATCAACTTTTCCTGATTCCTGCTGCAATCTGAGATAGATAGAATCTGATTAGGTTGCTAGAGTCTCATCATTCGATAGTAGGAGACTGGTTATACGAGAGTTAGCCAGTTTACTGCTTTGTACTGGAATCTAATTCCAGTAGTGAATTTCTGTTCTTACTGCTTCAGCTTTCTATCCCGGTGAAGACTAGTCGTCTGCCGGGTAGTTAGACTGAGAGGGCTTGGTCAGCTTAAGAGATTCCAAGCTACTGCCGGATCTTCCGCAGTCTAATCAACAGTAAATCAACCCAGGGTAAATTGCACTTGAAACCTAACTAAGGAGCTAGGGGGATTCATTCCCGAGTGACTCTTTCCTGCTTAAGAAAACCGAATAATTTCCTGCTTTATTTCTGCTTTTAGTTTAAACAACAATCACTTACTCTAGTTGGCTAGATAACAGAGAATCACTGAGTAAGCAGTAGATCTAGAGCCCGGGTTGATAATATAACTTGCCTGTTACTGCATTCCCGGTCTGCGATTACACTTGGTCGCAGATTGGTGTTGTGTTTTGGTGTACCAAGGGGAATCCAGCTTTGGCAACCCATAGACAAACCCTATGCGTTTGTCACGCCTACGACACGACCAGCAGTTCTTGGAACCGCCTATGGCGTACATGAGGCAAAAGGCATCGATAGACGGTTCCTCCTTCAGGCGGTCGCAAGCCGCTATGTAGCAAAGGGAATGAAAGACGATGGAGGGAGAAAGGCAGCTCAAAGAGCAATTAAGGTGCAGCAAAATCTCAGTCAGCAATGGGAAGGGGAATTCCAATCCTAACCGCACGTTCTCAACGAAAACGGTAATCCAACCCACCGGGCATGACCCACAGCGACCGGCCGCGGAAGGAGCGGCATACTCCCAGTCAGTCGGCAGCGGATGCCACTTTAGTTGCTTGAGCACTTGAGCGGGGGAGTACGTAAGGTCATAGGGAGGTCTGTATTCTTATACGGCCGCAGGAATCTCCTCGCCTTCCCACATATCCTCGTGGAGGCGCACGCGGTACCTATCATCCGCAATCGCTTGAAAGGGATGGACAAGAGGCGCTTCCGACAGCTTCAGAGATAGAGAGTCGGCAACGGAGTCCTCGGCGTCCCTGTCCCCAGGATCATCTCTGGGAGCACTCTCCGACGACAGTTCAACGAGAGGCGGTCTTGTCATCGAACCGCCTCCAGAAGTAGGCGTACCGAACGTGACAAGGTTGTCACCGACCTTAGAGGTGGCCCCTTGCTCAGCCAGTGAAGTAGTTGTATCAACCTAGCCCCCCCCCCCCCCCTCTAACCCTAAAATGCAACCATCAGGCCTATCAAACCGCTCTCGCAATTCAATAGTATTACCGCAACCGCATAGCAATTCAATACCCTCTGAATCCCATTCTATGTCAGATAAGCTTAGAGGATAGGAAGGGTCAAGCGTACCTTGCGCGACCGGCACTGTCCCAACTGAAGGACCGCTCACGCCAGCGATCTTAGAAGCAAGACGGAGAGCACCTCTCCCGGCGCCAAAAGCCGTAGCGTCGCGGGAGGCGGTGACCATAACGGCGTCGGAGGGGTGGTCGCAGCAGCGTCGGAGGCAGAGGGAGGCGGAACATCGCCGGAGAGGTCGCGATTCTGGCTGTCGGAGGGAGTCATTGATTGAGAGTTGATCGCCATAAGCAGTTTTCGGTTTTTTCTTTTCGATCATTTTTTACTTCGCCTCAGCGCAGTAAGATAGGCAAATCGATCAGCCGAAAGATAAGAGTGAGTTTCCAGGTAACGAGAGAGCGAAAACCTGGAGCAGCGAGCAATTTTGGAGAGGATGAAGGAGAGAAGAAGCAAATGCGAAAGTGGAAATTTTCACAACTATATAGTAGGAAGAATGAGGAAAAAGGGCGATGTGATTGTTGAGTGCCCAAGATATAGGCCCAGTCTAAGAAATTCAAAAACTCGGGCAGTGAAAGGACGACTAGCCTGTCCGTTGTCAGAGCTGGGAAAACGAGCTTCGCCATGTGTACGATGTGTCTCCAAGTGGAGATCACGATGTCAAGCGTCCTAACCACTCATGGGGTTGAGCAAGGTGTGAACCGCTAGCGTGGTCCCGCCACGCACGAGATGCGTCTCCCATGAAAAGGTACGATGCGGATAGGGTAAGGCCTAGGCGGGTCGACCCTATGTCTTTGCCGACCAGGGGCAAGGCAGGGGGTAAACAAGGTGTGAACCACTCAACTAGCTGGGAGTTCTCTTTATAGCCGCCAAAAACCTAGGTTTTTCCCGCCTAAGGGGCAATTGTTGGGCCACGTAGTTGAGCGGTCATGGGCCTTGGGCCCAGGAGGAAAGTACCAGCTAGTTGGGCCCAATGGAGTATTCGGCCCAGTTAGGTCAATCCAGGGTGACAGGCGGTCCCAGGCCGACTCCAAACCCAAGGAGTGTCCAGAACGCCTGACATAAAGCGACTGACCATGACAGAAAGCAAAGATCCGTTGAGATACGTACCTCGGGCTGGGTAAGATTGAGCATTTATTTCTCGTCAAAGGCGGTCCACCTAGGGAGTAGATCTGTCAAGGACGCCTGACGTAATATTAAATGACTCAACCACCACCACCCCAGGTATAAATGCACCATGAGAGCATTGATGGTAAACTCAACTACTCTCTCTCTCTCTCTCTCTCTCTCTCTCTCTTTCTCTCTTTCTCTAGAACAAACACATCATTACACACTTCTCTATCTAACTTAAGCATTGGAGGGTGTCCCGGGCAATCGCCCACGGACCCTTGTTTTGCAGAGATCTGGAGTGCGCCCTCCTTCCAAGAACAGATGCGACACCCATGTCCTACAAACCGCCTAGTACTTACTAGGCACAAACACCTACCAAAAAAATAATAAAATGATGTAATCTAGTTCAACCTAAGATTAAATAAAGTTTGATTGAATCACGTGCCTATGGTGTTTGCTTTGCTTTGCTCGGATCCGATTATTCGACAAGAACAAGTAGGAAAAGTAATGTTCATTCTACATATAAGGATATCCACCAGTACTCTGTTCCATTATTGTCTCTGACATTCATACTGATACTAGTACTCTATTCTAACCAGGACATGCAACTATTTAAGTCCAAATACACATATCTGAACAACATTACATAGACAGCATAGTTTTATCGGATTCTCAACTACAGAGTACAGACTACGTGAACGCGATCATATCTTACATTGACAGAATAGTTTTAAGGAGATCAATCGGCGGAATCAGTAGTGCCTAAGCTCAACTCGAGCATTGGACTGAATTCCTTCCTCGAGCGAATCCTTCGATTTCTCTAAGATAAACTTGGTGCACAGCCAAATACCGGATAGTAGAATGACGTTGGTTATTCAGTACCACACATCCACCACTGATGTGTCTGTGGCTGTTTTCACATAATAAAGGATGAAGCTGACCAACCTGTTCACCATCACGGTAATACCAATTACCTGGGCCCGGACCTTGAATGGAAGGGCCTCGGTGGTGTGAATCATGGTGACCGAGCCGAAACCAAATGAGTACGACCCGAAGAAGGCTGACATACTAACCTTGTACATCAGCTTGATTCCTCTCGATCTTACCACGTTCTTCAGAAGTGTGGAGGACACGTTGATGAAAACCATCGAGGATGCCACCCCGGCCAAGTTGTACCGCAGCAACTGGCCACGTCCGACCACGTCCGAGATGAAGATTGGCACGAGGATCGGGAACAGCCTCCTGCACAGCGGCGGGAGCTGCTCCAGCAGGTAGTCGAGCGCCTCGAATGATGGCTTGTCGCGAGGGAACGCCAGGGACTCGGACGTGAGCAAGTCTATCCCTGAGAAAACCTGGACGCCGTGGAGGGTGAGGACGGAGACCAACAGCTTCATTAGGTGGGGTCGGACCAGGGGTCGACGGAGCTCCTGCCAGATCGCCAGGACACCCATACTAATTTGACGTCTATCACAACTTTTACAGACATGAGGTGAAATAAAACGACATTAGTGTAAAGATTATGAATTCATAATTGAGAAGCGTTCGAATGTTGCAATTCAGAAACCTTTATATAGACTAAGAACCTCTCTCAAGCATACAAATTTTCCGTAATTGTATTGGTTATTTATGATCATTGAGAAACCTATTCACAAATCATGATCATATCTTAGAAACTATCTCTATATTGATGATGCTATAGATAAAAAAACAAATTCAATCAAACACAACTAACACAAATATGAATTTATGTTAACCTATTAAAAAAATAAACTTACATATTTCGGCCGATATGTCGGGTCCAAGACCATGAAAGCAAGTAGGAACCGTTTTTCCATAGCACGACAGTAATGCCAAACTTTCTTTCTTTTTCTGTCGTTGGATGTTCTACATTGGGTTATAGGTATAATTTGCCCCTCTACTTTGCAAAGTTATCAAACACGCCCCTCTATAACGTTTCACATCAATTTTGCCCTTATACTATAACAAAGTTATCTAATCTACCCTTCCATCCATTTTTGTGTCAATTGACCATTATCTTGGGTCAATTATGGCTTAATAAATTTAACCTGAGTGTAAATTACTTAAATGCCCACTTCGCCTTCCTCCGCGGCAGCAGCAAAACACACTTCGCCGCCGATTCACTGCGAACCACCTCCTCAAGCCCTAGAGCCTTGCGCTAGAAGCTGTGGAGAAGGCAATTGCCGCCACGAATCTCTGTTTCGGTGATTGGTGGGTTTTCCCCTATGATGGGTTTCTTATTATCATGAAATATATGAACCCCTTCCCTGATTGCAAAAGATGTAGATTGGGGCAAAGAATGGGAATTGTTTCCTCTATACCATAACGTAAGGGAGACAGACAGCCTTGAGATATTAGAATTTTCTATTTTAATCCCCTTCCTTCTTCCATTCTTCGCATCTAACGAAAAAAATGTCGGGGCCTCTCACATCCTTGCCCGCCTTCTGTCTACTGCTCTCTGGCCGACATCCATCAATCGTCGGATAAGGCTTGATATTCATCAGGAAGGACATTTAGGTAATTACACACTACAATTAAATTGATTCAGTCCTAATTGACCCAATATAACGGTCAACTGACAGAAAAGTGGATGGAAGGGTAGATTTGTTAACTTTGTTATAGTATAAGGGCGAAATTGATGTGAAACATTGTAGAGTGGCATGTTTGGTAACTTTGCAAAGTAGAGGGGCAAATTATACCTATAACCCTTCTACATTTAGTGAGGGTCATTGATTAATAACCAGGCTTAAATCAAAATCGGTTGAACCTATTTATTTGGTTGGCTAGTTGCCCTATAACCGCTTTTTTGAGTTTTTTTCCAAAAATTAATAAAACACTAAGCACTACCCTTTTTCCAATGAGAAAGCCTTTCTTCCGAGGAGGAGGAAAGAGAATTGGACAAAGATTCCTTCACACTGACGTGGATAAATGAGGTATTAGAAGTGCTGATGTGGACAGCCGGCGCGACGGGGAGCCCGAGCCCGGCTCCGAGCAGGGAAACCAGCCTCCCGGAGATCAGAACTCCGCAGGATGGCGCCAGCGACGTCGCGAGGAGGGCAAAAGAGGAGACAACTCCTGAGATGACGAGAGCCCACCTCCGGCCGAGGAAGTCGGCGACGAACCCTGAGGCAAAGAACGCCACGTACTTGGTGTCGTCATGGAAGTGGGCCGTCTGTGCCGCCGACATCTAGAGATCGTCTGTCGTCGTCGTCGCTACCAGGAAGAGAGGGTAGGCCTCTAAAAACAACAAGTGGAGAGAATATTATTATTAGAGATCGAAGATTTGTTTACCGAAATAAACTCAAGGTTATATATTGTGGGACATTTATGATTGTTCGTTTACCGTAGCTGAAGGTGAATATGAGGGCGGCCTGGGAGGTGACGATGCAGAGAAGCACAGTGAGCTTCTTGAGGTCGTCGGCGGCCATTTCGGTGAAGTTTTTGATCGAGATGAATTTGGGAGAGAAAGTTTCAAACCATCTTCCTCCTTTACTATTTCTTTCTTTTCCTCCTTTCTTTCTTTGGCCTAGGTTGCAGCACCGATGTGTTGCTGTCTTGGCTACAAACATAGCAAGACTTGTAGACAGAGGTAAGGGGAAGCAAGTGAGGTGGGATTCAATTGTGGAATCAGAAAAAATCAAAATTTTATTGAATTTTCAACTGATACACTTGAATAAAAGGAACCCTAGCCAAGCCAAGAAGCTTGGCCCTTTGAAAAGAAAAGGAAAAAGCTCAAAACCCCTACTTCCCAAGATTCAATCACCCAGTACACACACCCTGTGATTGATCTACTTAAGTAAGTACATAAATGGACCCATGATAGACAAAGTAAGTACCCAGTTACTCTTGCTATCAACTGCCAAGTTCAAAAGATGGAGATTGATTCCTATTTATAGTGAAAGCAAGGCAAAAGACCGTTGCTGACCATTGAGTTGTTGAGAGAGCCGTTTCCTATAGATTGCTCCTTGTAGTGATCATTATTGTGAAGAATAGAAGCGGTGGACATCTGCCTGGTTTCTTGTGAGAAAGAGCATAAGTCTGCAAAATGGAGAGCTCGAGAAGGAGAAGAAGACTTCGAAGGACGAAACTTCAAAATTGGTCAAAACACCTTCGTTCTGTTATCGTTGTGGGAAAAACATCATTTTGTTGAATACGACATCGTTTTGCCAAGTGAACCACAGCAACATATCGTTCAACAATTTCCCCCTTCGTCCGAGAAGTGTGGGGATACCTGCAAACAAAAGGAAGATACTAGCAGACCACGAATCCAAAACGAAACATACTTGCATTAAATAAAACAAAATTACAGTAGGAGCATCAATCAGGGGAGATGAGTTGACAAAAGTTTGGAAATATCAAAGATATTCCCCTAAACAGCAGCAACTAAACTAGGTACCCATCCTCATCCCCCCTGAACAGAAGCATCATTCTGGAAACAGGAGAATATTACAAAAGTTGCTCAACTACCTAAGAAGACAGAATGACAGAAGATTAGGAAGCAAGAGCAGAAGCTGTAGAGTCATCTGAGGAGGAATTTCCTTCAGAGATGGTGAACATAAGGTCTCTAGTCTTGCTAGGTTCACCAGCAGACTTGGCCTTTCTAGCAGAAGAGGACTTGGGAGGAGCTCCAAGAAGAGAGGCAGAAGGACGAGGAGGAGGAGGTATGTCAGTGGGTAGATCAAGTACCGTGAGCACATTTAATGCACTGACATACATGGTTGAGGACACACTACAAAACTCGGATAAATCAACCCCTAGGTTGATCAGCAGACGAGTTATAATAGATCCAAATGTTAGCAGACCTTTGTAATTTTCATCTCCCACAGGGAGAAACTGGCCAAACATAATGCTTGCGAAGTCGAGCTTTCGCCTCTCTGTTGCACTGGAGATTATCCAGAGATCCATGTGGAGAACACGATCCTGGTTAAAGGATCGAGAGAAGAAGACATGGGTGAGGAAATAATGGAAGATCCTCAGCCTCGGAGGCATCCAGGAAACAGGTATGGGAACATCAGAGCCACCAGTTGGCTCTGTTGAGAAATTGTTGTATTCCACCTCAATCTTGAACTCGTGCTTCCAAAACTCAGAAGGATGAGTTATCCCAAGTCCCTGAGAGGGGAAACCAAGAATGTCATTCAAGGCATCGACTGGTATTGTCAGCAGATGGCCATAGACTAATGTGGTGAAGCTCCTCGAGCTTACCCCTTGGCATTGGAGGTTTGAGAAGAAGTATTTCACCGCTCCTGGACAGGCAGGATGAAGAGGCTGACGAAGAAGGAAATCCCACCCAAGTTCTTCAATGAGGGAGATAATGTCATACTTGTAGACATTGAATTCATAAGGATCGAGTTGAGTAGTATGGTGGATTATCCTCTTGTCAAAGTGTTGGAGATATCGGTGATGTTTCAGCACCCTAGGTTCATGGAACATGTATCCAGAGTAGGTGTGAACCAGCCCATCAAAGCGGAAAAGACGAGGGATATAGTCAATCATTTTTGGAAAGGCTGAATATTTTGGCTAAGTTTGAGCTCAGTTGATTGTCTTGTTGGAACAGTGAGGAGAGCAAGATAAGGAAGAAGTCTTATATAGGCAGAGGGATGAGAGGGAAGGAAGAAGCGGAAGAGACTCCCGCAGGAGAAAAGTAGGGAAAAGCGTAATGATTAGATAGTAGCATGCATGACGTTGTCTTGGAATACCCCAAGCATGAGCCAAAAAAGGGGTTTATTTGATTAACCAAGAAATGCTAAATACCCAGAGCAAAAAGGCCCAATAAGTTTTTTAGTTTGAAAGATTCTTAATCTGACTAAAAGATTTGAGTCTTAGTTATGTGCATAAGTACAGAAAGCGTTCACTAGGGAGCGGTTTTGTAAACAAGTCAGCTAATTGAGATTCAGTTGAAACAAACTGTAAACAAATGTGTCCTGCTTGTACTAGATCTCTAATAAAATGATATTTTATTTCGATATGTTTTGTTCTAGAGTGTTGAACAGGATTATTTGTCATACTAATTGCACTAGTGTTGTCACAGCATACTTGAATATCATTTAGTTTAAAACCATAATCATATAATTGAGCTTTCATCCACATAAATTGAGCACAGCAGCTTCCAGCTGCCATGTACTCAGCTTCAGCAGTTGAAAGAGCAACTGCTCCCTGTTTTTTTACCAAACCAAGAAACCAGTGCAGGTCCAAGGAACTGTATAGTTCCTGAGGTACTTTTTCTATCTACTAAGCTTCCTCCAAAGTCTGAATCACTGTAACCTACCAATTCAAATGAGTCAGAGATTGGATACCATAATCCTACATTGATTGTTCCCCTAAGATACCTGAATATACGTTTAACCGCTTTAAAATGGCTTTCCTTAGGGTTTGATAGGAATCTTGCACATAGTCCTACACTGAACTGAATACCAGGTCTACTAGCTGTTAAATAAAGGAGAGATCCAATCATACCTCTGTATTTCTTTTCACAGAATGCTATTCCTCCTTCATCTTTGTCTAACTTCATATTTGTAGCCATAGGAGTTAGACTTTCATTTACAGAAGTCATGTCGAATTTCTTAAGCATGGCTTCAGTGTAGCTAGATTGATTGATGAATATTCCTGACTTTGTTTGTTTAATTTGTAAGTCTAGAAAGTGTGACAGTTCTCCCATCATACTCATTTCAAATTCTGATTTCATGATTTCACAGAATTTTGTACACATGGAAGGGTTTTTTGAACCAAATACTGTGGGGCTAAGATCTGGTGACTGGGGGGGGGGGGGGGGGGGGGGGGGGGTCCCTTAGTCATATGACTAAGTGAATCTCCACCCTTGCACCTCATTAAAATCCAATGGTCCAGATTAATCTCATTTAATGAAGGACAAAATAGTAATTATATAAATTAATTATTTAACAATTAAAATTAAAAAAACTGTGCGGCGAATTTGTTATCCCTCCCGCGGGCCGCCTGTTCCCCGGGACTTGCCGCCGACTGCCTTGGGAATTTTTCCGGTGGCTTGGGACTAATTCCCTCCCCGGCGGCGGTCCCTTTATGGCCCTGGGAATAATAAGTGGCTTGGGGATTTTAGGTACAGAGAGAGAGAGAGTGTTGTTGGGAATTATTTGGGATGTTGGCGCGCGGAGAGAGAGAGAGTGAGAGAGAGAGAGAGATTTCTACTGACCGGAGGAGGTTTTTCCGGCGATAGTGTTGAATTTGTGATGTTTGTCGTTTATTTTGTAATGTTCGTAAACTTTGTAATTTTGTAATGTTTGTGGGTTCTTTTGTAATGTTTGTAAGCTTTGTTATCTTTGTGCACCATGTTTATCATTTTTTTTTCAACCATGTTTGTAATGTTTTTTATGTCTAAAAAACAACCTGATTTACTTTTGGATGGAACTCCTCTATATAGAGATGAAGCCTCCAAAGTCAACCCGGGTGTTTTTCAAGTTTGTATGAATTTTTTGTCTAGTTTGTCATTTTTGTTCACCATGTTTTGGTCTAGTCAAGTGACTAAGAACCCCCCCTAGTCACCTGATCCTCTCTCAAATACTATGTCATCAACATATATTTTCACAATTAGAGTGTCTGAGTTTTCCCTTTTAATAAACAAGGTTTTGTCAACATTTCCTTGACAAAAACCTTCATTTTTCAGAAATCTAGACAGCTTTTCATACCATGCCCTAGGTGCTTGTTTCAAACCATACAAGGCTTTTGATAATTTATAGACATGGTCAGGATTTTTATGATCAATGAAACCTGGTGGTTGACTTACATATACTTCCTCTTTTATTTCTCCATTCAAGAAGGCACTTTTTACGTCCATCTGATATAGGGTGAATTTTCATATAACAGGCATAGGCACAAAGCATTCTAATAGATTCAATGCGTGCAACAGGTGCAAAAGTTTCTTCAAAATCAATTCCCTCTTCCTGTAAATACCCTTGTGCTACTAATCTGGCTTTATTCTTAATCACTTGTCCTTCTTCATCAGTTTTATTTCTGAAAACCCACTTTGTTCCTATGAATAAACAGTCTGATGGGCGAGGAACAAGTTCCCAAACATGTAACCTAGCAAATTGAAGTAATTCTTCTTGCATAGCACACAACCACTCATCATCAGTTAGTGCTTTTTTTAATTCCTTGGTTCTGGTAAGGAGACAAAGGCATACTGACATGGTTGGTACGTACCTCTGGTGTGAATGCCATCTTTAAGTTGTCCTATGATTTGTGAGGGAGGATGTCGTTTTTGAATGTGTGCAGGAGCCTCTTTTTCATCTCCTTCTCTAGATTCATTTCCTGGTTCACTTTTGCTTTCTTGTGTTTTTTTTTTAGGCCTCAATTTCCCCAGTGTTTTGTTCTTCTGCTGAAACAGGAAATAGAAAATCTATGCTTTCGGCAGAGACTTTGTTAGTGCCCATATATTCATCAAACTTAACAAACACAGATTCCTCAACTCTTTTAGATCTGAGATTGTATACTCTGTAAGCCTGTCCTTTGGTAAAGTATCCCAGGAATATGGCCTGATCATATTTAGCATCAAATTTATAAAGATGATCCTTCGTATTAAGAATGAAGCATTTACACCCAAAAGGATGAAAGTATCCCAAGTTTGGTGTTTTCTGTTTTAAGATTTCATAAGGGGTTTTATTTATAGACTTCCTAATAAGTACTCTGTTGATTACATAGACTGTTGTCATTTCAGCTTCACCCCAGAAAAGTTTAGGTGTACCATATTCTAACAGCATTGTTCTGGCAGCTTCAATTATGGTTCTATTCTTTCTTTCCACAACACCATTTTGTTGAGGTGTTCTAGGTGCAAAGAAGGTATGGTTAATACTGTTGAAATTAAATAAATTTTAATTAATATAAATCTGAACCTCCACTTCATTCTCAATATTATGCCTTGAAGAGGACTCGAACCTCCACGCTCTTTAGCACGAGATTTTGAGTCTCGCGTGTCTACCATTTCACCACCAATATATGAATTTGCTGGAAGGGACGTGATGAGCTAGAATGGATTGGAATTGTGTAGAAATGTGTGTGGTAGTTGTATTATAAAAATAGAAAAATCATGAACCACAATTGCTAAGTCAGTTCAACTACTGTCATTAATAGGTTGCAGATTTTTATGTAATGGGAGTAGTATAAATAGGCTCATTTGGAGCCGTGTATGATGCAGAGCAAAGAAAGACAATAAACAAAGAATGAATAAAAGTCTCTTGTTGTATTCCTCTCTCTCTATCGTACATACCTCCCAAAGCCCTCTGTCAAATTCAATTTCATTTTTCAAATATGAAACCCACCAAAGCTTCCATTTCCTATACCAAACGTGCCCAATCAAATTACTAAAGGAAATAATTTATTTATTTCCAACAAAGTGGTATCAGAGCCCGAGTTATTCTTAAGTATGCTCTGTGGTTGCAGCGTAGTCTGAACTTCCACATCATAAAAGAATTTCTCGTGTTTTTGTTATCATGATTGTCCCATGGCCGAAAAATCTACTTTCCTCATTCAATTCCCCCACCTTACCAAAACCAATTACAAAAATTGGTGCATCCGTATGAGAGCCTTGATGGGATCCCAAGATGCTTGGGATATTGTTGAGAAAGGTTACGAGATTCCCGTGGAGGATTCTCGGTTATCTCCTGCTGAAAAGGAGGTGTTGAGAAAGAATTGAAAGAGTGATCAAAAGGCACTCACTCTAATTTATCAATGTCTTGATGAATCCATGTTCGATCAAATAGCAGATGCTACCACAGCAAAGGAAGCATGGGGGATTTTGCAAAAGGAAATGGAACCAGTAAAGAAGGTTCGACTTCAGACACTAAGGGGAGATTTTGAAGCCATTAAAATGAAGGAAGGTGAATCTGTTTCAGATTACACCGCACGTGTGAAGTCTATCGCCAGCAAACTGAAGAAGTATGGGTAGAAAATTGAAGAGACCAAAGTGGTGGAGAAAATTCTACAGTTATTATTACCGAAGTTTGATTATGTGGTGGTGGCCATGGAGGAAGCTAAGGACGTGTCAAAAATGACGGTTGATGAAGTCATCGGTTCATTACAAGCCATAGAAGAAAGACTAAATAAAAGAAATGAAGAATCGTCAGAACAAGTGTTAGCTACAAAAGCTACCACTAAGGAGAAAGAAGGTTCCCGAGGAGGAGGTCAGTACAGAGGTCGAGGCAGAGGCAGCTATAGAGGCAGAGGAAGAGGAAGAGCTCGAGGAGCATATCAAAGTAGAGATGGAGTAAATTTCACCACGAACAACTATGAATCGTCCACTAGAGGCAGAGGTCGTGGTCGTGGACGTGGAAGAGGAAGTTGGAGATCAAATGAAGGTCGTGATAAATCCAACGTACAGTGCTATAATTGCTCGAAGTACGGGCATTATGCATCGGAATGTTGGAGTCCGCCTAAAAAAGTGGAGGAAACAGCAAACAACGTGCAAGAAGAAGTCAAAGGCACATTGATGTTGTCACATCAAGGAGATGAAAAACTGAGAGACAACATGTGGTATCTGGATAATGCAGTGATCAACCACATGTGTGGAAAAAGAAACATGTTCGTGGATATGGATGAGTCAGTGAAAGGAAATGTCTTATTTGGAGACTCCTCGAAGGTCCCTATCAAAGGCAGAGGAACTATACTCATCCGGCTCAAGAATGGCTCACAGCAATCTATCAGTGATATGTACTATGTCCCAGACATGACTAGTAACATCCTGAGTTTGGGTTAGCTGATGGAGAAAAATTATGAAGTCCACATGGTGAATCGTCAATTAGAGCTGTTAAATGAGAAAAAGAAGTTGTTGGCCAGAGTCCCAATGTCAAGAAACAGAATGTTCACCCTGGACATTCAAACTGAAATGGTGAAGTGTTTGAAAGCATGTGTGAAGGACAATACATGGCTATGGCATCTGAGATATGGCCATCTAAATTTTGGATGCCTAAAGTTACTCGGTCAGAAGAAGATGGTGCATGGTCTACCAGTGTTTAATCATCCGGACCAATTGTGTGAAGGATGCTTAGTTGGAAAGCAATTCAGGGCAAGTTTCCCGAAGGAGTCCCTATCAAGAGCTAAAGCACCACTTGAGCTGGTCCATGCTGATCTCTGTGGTCCGATCACTCCAACATCATTTGGCAAGAACAAATACTTCCTATTGTTCATTGATGACTACAGTAGAAAGACATGGGTGTACTTCTTAAAGCAAAAGTCAGACACATTTGAAGCTTTCAAGAAGTTCAAGATGCTCGTGGAGAATGAAAGTGGCCGCTACATCAAAGCAATGAGATCTGATAGAGGGGGAGAATTTATGCTGAAGAAGTTCAGAAGGTTCTTTGAATATCAAGGAATCCGCAGATTTCTCTCAGTCCCAAGATCCCCACAGCAAAATGGAGTTGTTGTGAGGAAGAACAGAATTGTCCTCAACATGGCGAGAAGCATGATGAAGAGCAAGAACCTGCCAAAGGAGCTATGGGCTGAAGCTGTTGATTGTGCAGTCTACCTGCTGAATAGGTCACCAACAAAGAGTGGTTGGAATCAAACACCCCAAGAAGCATGGAGCGGAAGGAAACCCACAATCTCTCACCTCCGAGTCTTCGGAAGTGTAGGATATGTGCACGTACCGGATCAAGAAAGGAAGAAGTTGGATGACAAAAGCAAGAAGTATATATTCCTTGGATACTCTGAACACTCAAAAGGTTACAAGATGTTTGATCCCGCAGAAGAGAAGTTGATCATCAGCAGAGACGTAGTAGTTGATGAAGAAGCAACATGGGATTGGACTGCTGAAGCAAAGAAGAGTTATACTTTTTATCCATTCACTATGGATGAAAGTGATAATGAACCAGACACAGCTACACCTGTGACAAGTCCACCCAGTCAAAGAGAGCCTGCCAGCCCAGAAGGAGAATCAAGTGAAAGTCCCCGAGAAAGGCCACAGAAGTATAGAAGACTTGAAGAAATTTATGAGGAAACGACAACCATTGAAGGTGATGAATTGACACTCTATTGTCATTTCATTGATAGTGAACCAGTGGATGTTG